AAAGTTTATTATTACGAACGAAAAAATATTATTTTTTAAATCTTTGTGAAAAAATGGCTCTTTTGAGACCCATTTTTTAATCTATTGACATACTTTTGAATAATTTTTTTTGACAATTTTCAGGATTTTACCCAAATTACTTAAGATTTGAACCCAAATATCTTTACAACTTGACTTGATTTTTTTTGTTAACCTGAGTTACACATTAAAAAAAAAACACATACTTACAATAAATAAATTCCTATCTAAAGATAGTTTATCAAATAAGTGTGGCACTGTCAGAAAATTGACTTTTCTGCAAGTGAGTTTCATTTTTTAAAAATAATTGTGTAAATTAAAATTAACATTAAATGTTTTACTTTTATGTGTTTTTTGTAAAAAAAAATTAGATTTGGTCACAGTCAAGTAAATTCATTCATATTTCGATTGAAGCCTGATGGTACACCAATTGATGAAGGTCATGCTATTTTGCGTGAGGTATACTTTAAACCCCATCGCTTAGAGCGTGAAGGTGGGCTTGACCCTTTACTGCGTGGAACAATAAAATTTAGATCTCAAGAAGTTGATATGTTGATGGTTGATGAAATGAGAAACACATTGTTTCCAACTTCAGATGACTCTACTGGAACTCATAGTGGGTTTGATCTTGCAGCATTGAATATTCAGAGAGGGCGGGATCATGGACTGGCTGACTTTAATACTGTTAGAAAATATCTTGGTCTAAAAGGTATTTGTATTTCAAGCTGTGATAATAATAATATTATAATTAATAATAACCACAATAATAACAACAACAGCAATAATGATTTTTTTTTAGCTTTTTTAAAGTTATTTGAAAAACCTTTCAAAACTGAGATCAATTGCAGATGATGGTGTTTTTTCATTTAAAAAATAAATTATTTTTGTTAAAAGATAAATACTTTATTTTAATGATAATAGCTTTTTTTTCATTTATAAATAAGTTATTGATGTTTTTATTTTGTTCAATAATTTCAGGCATTACCCGTTTGAAATTGCTTTGGCTATAATAAACATTTTTTGAAAATTTTTATTCCTAGATTCTGAGATAAAACATTAGATTTAGTTATAAAAACTGAAAACTTTTCACGTCACTCATCTTTTTGCATCAAATACTTGTAGTGATAAAATTGTTATTTTTTCTCAAGAGAATTGTTTTTATTAAAAATATGAAAAAAATGATTACAATTAGAAATACATGCTACACAAGGATAAAACCATAGAGTTACCAAGGATACTAACAATAGGGATGAATGAGGTTGACTGATTTAGTGTTAAATTAGTCTTAAATTAAAGAAATAAAGCTATACTTTTAATGCCTGCCCAAAGTCTTTAAGGTTACATGAAGGCATAATTTTCAGAAGAAAGAAGAAAACCATCAGCCCAAGATACATCACAAAGAAAATCGCAAACAAATTTCTGTTTTATTATTTACTTATTTTTATGTTTAAAATTTTTATTTACTATATACATGATTTAAATTATTAGAAAAAATATTCACTCATACAGATTTGACTTAAATGATGAATTGATACATCAAGCAAAAAGTTATACTAATGCCTCATTCTTGATAATCAGCCAAACATTGTGACAAAGATGTCTCTATATGTTTTTTATATAATGTTTTAACATTTGTTACAACATTTATTACAAGATCTTTGACAAAGCACATCATAAGTACTAATATTCACATCATTTATGGTCAACATGTTAATACTCTGGTATTTTACACCTGTTACTGTTACTCTGGTATTTTACACCTGTTAATGAAATGTTAAAGGCTGAGAGCTATCACAGACCTCAAGAAACTTGATTCTATTCAGAGCAGTATTCATGTAGATAACAGAAAGAGTTGCATAGCCATTAGCGAAAAGGTACAAGGTATTATATTAAACAGGAAACGCAGTTATGTCAGCTTATAAGATAAAATGTTTGAAATGACTCAGAATTACAATTTAACAATATTGAGTCAAAGTATTTCATTGAAATATTGAAAATTATAAAATGAAAAAAATTTGAAAGTGGCTTTGTCAAAAGTTGATTGTTTTGCTGTTTAATATTAATAATAACAATAATAATGATCATAATATTAGTAATAATAATAAATTAGTATTATTAATAATAATAAATGAATAAATAAAATTTTAATGACTGTTGGTGTAATTTTTATAATTTTTTTAAAATACTTATATTTTAGCTTATAAATCATTCAGTGAAATAACATCTGATAAAAGCATTGCAAAAAATCTCGAACTACTCTATGAAAACGTAGATAATATTGACTTGTGGGTTGGAGGATTGGCTGAAGATCATGTGAAAGATTCTGAACTTGGAGAAACATTTCATAAAATTATCTTGGAACAATTTATTCGCTTTAGAGATGGAGACCGATTTTGGTATGAGAAGAACCTTACTACAGAAGTAAAAAAGTTATTTAATAATTATACCACTTTCTTATTACAGTTTTTAAAGATTATTATGTGTTTGAATTATACATTTTTAGATGACACTGTTTCACTCCACTATATATTTTTTTCAATTTTTTTTTTTATTGTAACTAAGCATTCATTTTTTTTTTCAGTTTTACTTAAGATTAAAATAATATTAGTTGCTATGTTGTTATGGTCATACTTATCATGTTTTTTGTTATGTATAATTTGTTACATTTGTTGTTATGGTCATACTTACCTTGGTTAGAACTGTTAACAACTTTCTAGAATAATTACTTATTCATTTTTTGTTCCTCAATGATTTTTTTCTTAAATTGGCGTGCTTGTGACCAAAGATAGGCCTGGATCACAGGGTATTCTATTCCCCATAATTACTCAATGTTTTACAAGTTTTAGTAGTAAGATAATTTGGTACTGATCAATGACTGAATCCTGATGCTTGCTATTTTCAATTCTTATTGTAGCATATTTGCTTGCTCATTCAAGCAGTTGTTGTTAAGATAATAAACTTTAGTAGTGATGATAATTCTTCAAGTGATGTTATAGGATTAAGAGAAAGTTTTAAAAATAAATAAATATTTATAAAAATAAGTTGTCTACTTTAACTTCAATTCCAATGGAAATTGGAATTGAAGAAATTAATAAATAGAATAAAGTAAATAAAAAAAGAGTAGAAAAAACGTTTGGTATTACTAAGATACTAAATACTGCAACATTTTTTTTTATTTTTTTTATTTTTTATTTTTTGTATACTTTTGTTTTGTTTCTAGGAAATAGCAGATGTTGAATCGAGGTCTCTCGGAAAAATAATAAGGCTCAATACTGGATTTACTGACTGTCCTGACAATGTATTTTTTTCCAGTGAAAATTGCATCGGCGTTAAGAATCATCAATGCATACCAAGGCTGTTCTCAAATGATAAATTTTTTCGAACCGCCAATGATGTGCATTTTAAAGATAAACACAATGAGCAAGGCGATAAGATAAAGTTACTGATTATTTTAGCTTCAGTTTTTGGTGCATTCAGTGGATTACTTCTTGTTATTGCTTTTGTGTGTTTAAAGTTGAAAGTGCATGCTGGTATATTTTTCAATATTGCTACTAATTAAAAAATTATTATTAACTAATATTATCTCTGAAATATTTTTGATATAGAAAGTAATACAATTACTTAGAATAAATCAAAATGTGAATTATAGTTTCTATAACTCTAGTTTTTTAATTTTATTTTATTTTAATAAATTAATCTTATATACTTTATTATGATTTAATGAAAGTTGTTTATAATTATATAAATATAACTATGTGAAATATTATCTATAAAATTTTTTTTTTAGGAAATGAAGTTTCAAGCAACAATCAAAATTGCGTAGTTAACATTGGCAATAACAACAAAGCTCTAGAAACAGTTGCCTAAGTTTTTTTTTTATCTTATATTTTTATCTATTAACTATTGTTATATATTTATTATTTATTAAATATAAATGTAATATTTTCATGAATTTTTTGCAACAATAAAGTAAATAAAATAAATTTAAACAGTTGTTTTATCCTCGACGAGTAAATATTAAAACTTTTAAAGTTCTGTAGTAATCTTTTATGCTTTTTAATTTATTGTAAATAAGTGAGTATACATCAGTGTAAAAATTATTGTTTTACACTGACGATAAAACACGTTTTATTTTAAACGCGTTTTATGTTTTTAATGTTGTGAGCTGTATAAAACAATAATAAAACAGCATGGCGAGGTTGTTTTATATTAGCCCAAATTTTTTATTCACGGGGCAGATGGATTTGTTGACACAGTTGCATGTTTTTCCTTCATCTTTACCTTGGCTATATAATATCCTGTGATTGTGCGAATTAATGATGAACTTGATGTTTGGCATACAATAATATAAATATACTTATTTTAGTGGTCATCATTAATTCGCACGTCCAAATACTAATTACAAGTGATTATAGTTAATTATCTTTGTCAACCAATTTGTGGTCAAAAAAGCAGAAAAAACTTAATTTTTTCTGCTTTTTTGATCTTTCACACATTTAAAACAAAACATGGGCTCTTAATATAAAGTATGGGGTACCTCAGGAATCAATTCTTTTTATTGTTTAAATCGCTATCGTTTTTAATTTATATCAATGATATATTTTTAGCTTATACCAACGAGATTATATAGAGAATCTGTCGTATACGACTTTCTTTTGCAACCATAATAATTGAAAATCGATGTTTTCACAATGAACACTGAACTGGAAGTCTTTAACTTATGGTATACAGCTAATGAAATATCTTTAAACTGTGAAAAAAACTAGTTACATTTAATCTCATAAACGTGGTCAATCAATAAATCTTCCGTTAAAAATTCCAGAGTTGCTTATTAATCAGCAAACAATGAAATGAAAAAAATATACGTAATATTGTTGATGTTCATAATGGACATAATGGTATACTTAATTTGATTAAGGTGCCCCAAGAAGTCCTTACGGTCTTATCACAGAGCACCGCTGAAGAGCATTTAATAAGAAGTTCACGCCTCCTTCCCAACCGATGTCGCAAAACTTGCCCAGAAGTGGGTTTTGAACCATGGATCTTACGTTTCTGAGGCAAATGCGCGGTATGACACCGAACAAATATTAATAAAACATTTAAAAACTAATTTTTATAGAGAATAAGAGCAAAAGGTTTACAAGACTAAACAACAACATTTAAAAAATTTATTTCAAACGTAACTTCTATTTTATTAAAAAACTGTTTTTTTAGTGCGACAAAATTATTAGACACTATTGGAAAAAATTCATATAAATTGTCTTTTATAAAAGACGTCTTAATTTTAAAAAACCCTTAGTGGGTACTTTACCATTTTTTTTAATCACTTCAATCATTCTAGAAGGTAAAGAATCATACAACTTTTTTTTTAATACGAAATGTCAAATTGCATCCCATGCAGATGCAATGGATGATTTCAAGTCAGCTAGTGAACTATAATGTCTACCACCTTCAAACACTATATGTGACAGCTGTGCCCAAGCATTCTTAATAATGTTCAGGTCTGGATATCTAGCTAGCCATTTCAATGTTTCAATTTTACTGATAAAAGATGCTTCACGTTATAAAAATTCTTGAACAAATTAAGGATTATTTTTCCTTCATTTTTCCGTCAGTTAAATGAATTTTTATTTATCATGATCCCCAATTGCACACCAAATTATTACACCACCCATTTGACGTTGTTGCTATGTTACTGGTTCTTTAAGCAAATCGAGAAATAATAATTCCATTTATCCGGCCCATCAAGATAAATCGTTTTTCTTCAAAAAATACTACTCTTTGCCACTCTTCTTTCCATGTTAAGTGGTACTTTGTAAAAGTTATTCGATCGTTTATGTGTTTTGTTGTTTTCGTTGAAGTTTTTTGCGCGAAAGGTAAAAAGCATTGTGAATTACTCGCTGAACTGTACGTAAATTAGCAATTACACCTGCTTCTGCAGCAATCTAACATGCAGTTAATGAAGAATTTGAAGCTTGTTTCAACAACTTTCGCCTATCAAGGTCACTTAATATTGATTGACGTCCAGGATTTTTTTTTATTCCATACATATAAGGACTATTAACGTAGTTTTTAATCACAGTTCGGCTGCGTCCAATGGCCATGTAACTAACGAAGTGACTGTCTTTCGATAAGTTAGAGAGCACTTTTTTCTCATCTTTTTTTTTTTTTTTTTAATTATCTTCGCTTCCAACAAGGCTGCAAGCAACCACTAATTAGTGTTGGAAGTTACTGGAAGAGAAAAGATGAAGATTGTAGAGCAAGATAACGATTGAAAGACGATGTAAAAGATTGCAAATTATATGAATCAGGAAAGCAAGATGAAAGAACTGATGTTCGAGGAAAAAAACAAGACGAGTAAGAGTTTTTGGAGCACTTAGGAACAGTAACAGAAAAAGGATGAGACTTAATTGAATGACGAGTAACACGAGAATGAATTTTAGTAGATGGCACAAGAGACGCTAGCTCTTTAGAGCAGTGCCCATTATAATATTTGCAGAAAAGAGAAGCAACATTACGACGATGGGACAGAGGTTGAAGGTTGGCTGCAAGAGCAGGTCCAACTATGTTTACAATGCGCTTTTGCACCTTGTCTAAAAGAGAAAGGGCATCATTAGAAGATCCGCCCCAGATATGGCAACGGTATTCCATTCAAGGCCTGATTTGAGATTTATAGAGATAGAGAATAGAATCCAGAGTAAGAAAGTGACAAGCTCGATAAAGAGAAGCAACTTTAGCAGATGCTAATTTTGCAACGGATTTGATATAAGGTTTCCAAGAAAGATCAGAAGTAAGAGTTAATCCTAGAAAATGAAGGGTCGGAGACTCATCGAGTACATTACCGTTCATAAATATAGGAAGGTCTAAACTATTGCGATAACGATTGATCGATTTTTATCTGAATTAAAGTTCACCAGCCACTGTGAGCCCCATGCTGTAGTAGAAGTGAGATCCTTTTCAAGCTCAGATGCCCCCTGCAAGCAATCAGAGAGAGTTGGCTTCTTATCGTGACAAGAATCAATACATTACATCATTACATCAAGTAAACATTCGTAATTGCCCACAACTGCGGTTTGTAAATAAAACGCTTTTTATAAAATAGTCTTATAATTTTGTCCCAATAAAAAAAAGGTTTTTTTTTTTTTATATACAATGCAATTTACTTTTAAAATAAGTTTGTTAAAATGTTGTTTAGTGTTGTAAACCCATTGCTAACATCGCTAACTTGGAAAAGGGGACATGTCTTGCAAGAATTCACATAACATGTCCCCATTTTTAAGTTAGTGTGTCAAATATAATTGTATAGTAGAGTTTTATAAATCTTTTTGGGATGTCTTATCATTATGTCGCGTAGTGTAGATGAAAATTTGTCATGGAGAAATCATTTAAATCAAATTGAATCAAAAATCAAATTGAAACAACAATGAAATACATTACAAAGTCTCTAAAAAGCTTTTGGCCAGAGAACTCTAGCAATAGTAGATGCGCAGCATTTATAAGGTTATTGATTTTGTCAAATCTCCACCTGAGATTATAAATTCCTTACGTTTTTTTGTTACTCCTTTAAACGTTCAAAGAAAAGTTCTACTGGTGAGTTGGTTTGTTAAATGTCACACCAAAAGGTGTTTTCGACTATTAAACTATACGCTACAAATTATGTTAACCAGTTTAATATCACAAAAAATATTCAAGCAATCATGGGTTTTTCTTGAGTTTTAATATGATCAAGTACAGACTTTACATTAGCATATGTCTCTGGAGTGTCTTGAAATACTGCTCTGAGCATTTGTTGCTTGTCAGTGATAGTTTTTGATGTTAAGGGTGACATCAATCTGAAAATTTTGTAAAAAATGTCTAATTTTAAATTTAAACAGTAAATAAAATTTAAGTATACGATAAATTAAAACTATTAGCTATTACATTGGTGAATAACGTTATCAATTAAGTTTAGTTTAAAAAATTTTTAAGATTTCATTTACTTTCGGACCTTTTTTTCAAAATTTAAATTTTCAAATTTCAAATTTTTATTTTGATTATTAATTAAAGTTTTTATGTAGCTTCGAGTTTAAACTTTATATCGAATTTTTCATATGGAAATTTAAATTGTAATGTTAGAACGGCAAAATTTAGTTAATAAACAAAAGTGAACATTTTTTTATTTTTTTTTTATTTTTTTATTATTGCCATTAAAACTAATCATTAATTTTCATAATCCGACAAAGAATTGGTAAAAATAATTGTTAATTTAACTAGAAAAAAAAATAGACGGTTAACGGAACTTGATAGAAAAAAATTTGAAAGTTTTTTTGAATATTTAAGTTATACAATTAGAAAAAGTTGAGTAATTCAAAGAAAAAAAAAACTTCATAGAAAAGAATTATACTTCAATAAAGATGTAAAGGATGCCAAAGGGTGCCGGTTTTTTTTGTTGTTGTTGTTGATGTTTTAGAACGACACTTTCACACATTTTCAGGTAGGACACTTTCACACATTTGCTAATTTTCAGTTTTTCAGCTCTTATGTAGTTTTCAATTGAAAATTACTACATCACACAGTGGGCCAGAATATAACAAAAATTAGTAAAATTAGATAATGTCTAAAAATAATCATATTATACATTTAATCATATGTTTTTGGGGTCAGGAAATCCATTTTTGACATTAAAATTAGGTTCAAACCACTCTGAATTGAGGTTGGGAACAAAAAACATCTCAACAAGTTATTCCTCTGACCCAAAAGTGAGGGAAGTGTGTTATTGATTTAATTTTTGTCACAATTTCATGCTAAATTTAACTAAATTAGCAGATTTTAAATTTTCCGGAATAATCTTTCATAAATAAAAAGTTATTAATGTATAAAATTTACAACCCCCTAACTTTAGGGAGGGTTTAAAATTTATTTAGTCATTTTTTTTCAAAATCAAAAATATACTTCATGAAATTTAATGCCAATATAGTCAAATTTAGTAAAATATAATTAACAAATTCATTCATCAACTCATTGCCCTCACTGTTGGGGTTAGGGGAATAACATTTTGGGACATTTTTGTTCCCAGGCTCCAACCACATTAGCATAAATATACTTAAATTTGGAGTTTGCATAACGTCTGAAAAAATTAAATCTTTAACAACAAATAAATTTAATTTGCGCTATTGTAACTATATTGTTTTTAAGTGTCAAGAAGCATTTAACTAGCATCCTATATAAAAAAATTAAAATGTTTTGAATTGTGAAATAAACAAAACAAATTCATACAAGTTTACAAGTTTTCTACGAGTAAAAGTTTAACTTCTTCGGGAAGAAGCAATTCCAATTTCTTTTTTTCTGCTTCACAGCAAACTGATCACTGGATCTGAGCTACACAGAAGTCTTCTCATTAAATTCAGGTTTTGATTTTTTATAGAAACTTTGAGTGTTAAAAAATACTCTGAAGTTTTTTTACACCTTTGTTTCTGCTTTCCTGTTCTTCTTCAGAAAGCATACCAAGGTATGCTTTTGTTGCGAACTACCTGGTGAGAGCGCATTAATTGTTTGTGTAAACGCTGCGGCATATAATACCAGGGCATTATGGAGGAACAAAACTTTGGGCTGTCTCCTTGAAATAGATCAGTGCATAGTATGATGTAGAAACGCTTGGTTAGTTCCTCGTCGATACCCAATACGTCAGCAGAAACGGAATAACCCTAAAAACGTTTTTATTTATAAATATCTTATACATCATATATCATTTAGCTTAAATTATAAAATTTATTAGAAAAGGTTAAATTTTAAGGTTAGTTTTTTTTTAAAACGTATACCCTGAAAAAACGTCTTGCCGTATTACCATCGTTGAATATCCGGAGGTGGAATATACATTTATTTTTATACATATCATACTAATCATGGCACTTGATATCTGAATACAATTTTTTTTATACTCTAGACTTTTAAAGAATTTGAATAACAATTATAAAGTTTTACTCAAAAAAAAATTATGCATCCTCAATACTTTTGAGGATGCATAATTTTATACAACTTCCAATCCATACATGTTGAAGAAAACTGTAAACATTTATATATTGACATAATAAATATAACATTCAAATATTAGCAACATTACATTTGCATAGAAAACATATAACACTAAATGATTATTATATACATATATCATTATTTAATTACCAGGATTATAGGTGGACCTGAAGGTTGAACATTCTCTACAGGATTGACATCGCCATCTAACCAGTTCTGGTACTTAGCCTCAAACCGTGTTCTAGTTTCTAGTTCTGTTTTTGTCCCTCCATTTCCTTCTAAGATTGTTTGTAAAATCCTTTTTAATCTTTTCAGATATATTGAAACCTTTCAAAATAATGTCAGCCTCGACATCTAATATACTGTTAATCTTCTTTTCCCACTTGGCCTCTTGGTTTATAATACAAATCTCGCCGCTTCATCATGTTGGAATTGTCATTCAAATTTTTTCAATTTTACTTATTAAAAGTGAGTTTTATAGTTTATTTATTATGCCGCAAACCGTTACAGCGTGTAACGGTTCACAAACCGTTACAGGGTGCTGTAACGGTTTGTGGTCAATGTTGCGACGACTTGTGGTCGATTAAAATTAATTGATCAACGCGTTGGTAGCGAGTGTTTATTATTTATTTAATTACTAAAAACAATGACTTGAATTAAAAATATTAAACAAATTACATATAGTAATTTCATAGTAACTTTTTTGTTAAATTTTTTAAAATTTGGTCAAGTCAACCTTTGACAACATGCGGTGACCGGGGGGAAGGGGTAAGTAAGGGCAGAAAATCTTTTTATAAAGTGTTAGTTAAAGTAATAAAGTATGCATGTAAATTAATTTCATCTTAACGTATGATAAAGTAAATCTATTACCGCAAAGTTTCTTTTACATGAAAAATCGTAAAAAAAATTTCTTAATAATGTAAAAAAAAACTGCAAAAAAAATCCAAATCTCTATTTTTTTTACCTCCTCATTTGAGCTATGCCGACACAAAAGCACTTTTTTAAAAAAAGCTCAACGAAAATTTTAATTTCTCCTGGTAGTAGAAACGATACACTACATAACTACACAATTACACAAAATTACATAATTTCACAAAAAGATATCAAGTATCTAAACAAGCACTGAATTTCAGTAAGAAAATAAAGAATTTTTTTAAAACATAAGAATTACCTAAAGTGAATACGATATCGTGCATTAGAAGCAGCAATAGCGTTTTACACGTCAATGCACAATTTTTCTTTTCGCTCAAACAATTACAGCTCAGAACTGATTCAAACTTTTTTTAAACAAATTTCAAAAATAGTAAAATAATTAAGAAATGCAGTTGCATTGAAGTAAAAAGGCTAGTTCAAGATGCTCACTTCAAGATGCTTATGAAAGTATTGGCTGATACTTCTAATCATGCAAAAGTTCTTTTTTTTTATTTTTCAACCAAACATAAGGAAGCCAAAAAAATTGCAACTAATTAATGATGAATGTGTGATGAAATCATGAATGTCTTACATATAAAGAAATTAATGATGATATAAACTCAAATTTCGGGGGCGTAGCAAGAAAAAGAACTGCAGAAAAGAGTAAGTTCGTTGAAATAGAAACTTAATTGACAATCAATGCAGCGTAGATATTACACATAATATATTGAGTGTATGATGTAAAACTCTTGAAAGTGATACTTTTTTTTTTTTTTTTTTTTTTTTTTGCCGTTTCATATATTTACAATATAGACTTGAATTATTTTGTGCTATCTCCAATTTTTGAAAAAATTGAGATTTTATTATTTTCGAATATTTTAGCATTGTGTTGTTCTACTTTAATTATATTGAAAAAAAATGAAACTTTTAACACGGTATTGCATGCAATATTGCATTGTTCTATCTCCTTAATGAGCAACCTTGAAAATATTATCTTGTTCTATCTCCAATCAACCAATCATATTACAATTACAAAGTTGTTCGGAATAATTTTATCAGTTTTGTTGTTTTCAAAATGGCAACTGCAAATATTGACCAAGAAATGGAACCTGCCCTAAATCAAAACGAAGGTAGTTGTTCAACTTAATTTGTATTATAATTTTGGAAAAGTAGAATTCGACTTTCGCTTGTGCCATTTTAGATTAAATTTAAAAGTTATTATTTATACATCCTGGATAATAAAAAATTAATATTTTAATCGTTATAGCTGCTTGGCATTACACCTTCTCGTCGGTCGCCCCATGGTTAGGTTTCTAGGAAACGTAAAGCTGATAAGAGTAGTTGGAAACAAAGTGTAAGAAAAATCCAACGTCAGTCGGGTAAAGCTTATAAAAATACGAAAGGAGAACAAATGTCAAAAAGATCTATTGTTGCACTAAAAAGTTGCAGAAATTGTAAATTTAAATGTTCTACCAATATATCTGAGATTGGGCGTCAAATAATATTTGATAACTTTTGGACCTTAGATGATGACGGAAAAAAACATTTCTATTCTAAAACTACGGAAAATCTGGAGAAAAAACGCTGTCGGACAGCTGCTGGTGACAATGCAAGAAGAAAAACATCTTATTATTATAGCTTTTTTGTTTCTAACACACAATATAGAGTTTGTAAATCATATTATCTTTCAACATTGAATATTAGCAGCCATAGAGTGTTTTACTTTCATAAGTTTAATAAATCTTTAACTACTGGAACACCATTGCAATCAAAATCAGAGAAACATGTTAAAAAAAGGTTACTAGAAGAGTCTAAACAAGTTGTACGAGACCATATTAACCTTTTCCCAAGAATTGATGCTCATTATAGCAGGAAAAAGACACATAAAGAATACATGGAAGGATCACTAAATATAGGTAGAATGTATGATCTTTATAAAATATATTGTGATGAAAATGTCTCTCCTCCAGCAAAAGAACATATGTATCGTTATATCTTTAATCACGAGTTCAATATAGAATTTCAAAAACCGAAGAAAGATTTATGTGACACATGCTATGAGTATCGCAACATTGTTAATGCAAGCAATGAACAAACAGATAGTTATAATAAGCACATAAAATCAAGGAATGATACCAAAACTGAATGTGAAAATGATCGCCAAAATGTTGATTCTAAAACTGCAATTGTTTGTATTGACCTTGCAAATGTTTTAAATTTGCCTAGAGCTAATGTGGGAAACTTTTATTACAAACGAAAACTTTCAAATTATAACTTAACTGGTCATTGCTCGCTTAACAGGAAGGGTTATTGCATCCTTTGGCACGAAGCCATGACTGGTCGTGGAGGAAATGATCTAGCCAGTGCTGTAACATGTTTGCTTTTGAAAATCATGGCTGACCTTGACATAAATAAGTTCATACTTTGGTTCGATTCATGTGTACCACAAAACCGCAATAGTTTCATGTCAGCAGCTTTGTGTGAATTTATAATACGATACCCACAAATAAAAGTAATTGAACAGAAGTTCTGTGAGCCAGGTCATTCCAGCATTCAAGAATGTGACAACATTCATAGTCAGATTGAAAAATCCCTCTCTGCTGCAGAAATATTTAGTCCACTTGGGCTAGAAAGAACTATTAAAAATGTAAACCGTAAAAAACCTTTCTGTGTTTACCAAATGCAAGTAGGAGATGTAAAGAATTTTTCAGTTGTCGCTGGTTTGTCAAGTTATAAGTTAGTGCCTTATTCAAAGGTTAAAAATCTTGTTTATCGAAACGGACTGCCATACCATGTTTTTTTTAAAACCTCGTTTTCAGATAATTATTCACAAGCTCGTATAAATAAGTCTGTCAAAAAAGCAGCATCAACCATTGTTGCAAAACCATTAAATACCAATATACCAATGGCAGCTTGCTTTCGTGCTTCTTATCAGTCTATATCTGTTGCAAAAGCCAATGATATCATTTCCATGTTTTCATACATGCCTGCTGTTGATATTGCATTTTATAAAACAATAATAAATTGAACATTTACAAAACATTAATAAAGTCAAAATATTTTTAGGGTTGTTATATGTTTAGTATAAATATAAATAACATATTTATATATATATAATAATATAAATAATATACATATAAATAACATATTTAAATAAAATATTTATTTAGTATAAATATAAATATAAAACACATTGAAATAATATTATTTTGAAATCTTGATAAAAATTTTTGTTTAGCTTAAGTTTTTTTTGTTTGTTTTTTTGTACTTTTATATTCATTTTCCCCACTTGTTTGGTTTGGATGGTTTTCCATAGTGACATAAAGGCCACTATGAAAGAGTTAAAGCAATGTTTCACAACCTGATGCCCTTCCTGACGTTAACTTGAGTAACAATTTTTTATTTGTAAATATTTGCAATAACTTTTAATAAAAAGTTAAACTCTATTAATGGATACACAGGCATAAGAAAAATAAAATCAAGTTCATCTTGCATGGAGTTTGTGATTAGATTAGTTGAATTGTTGTGAATTATCAGATAGTTACATAATGTTATTTCTTTTATTATTACATTTTTTTTAACATAACTCCTTCCTATATACCTTTCATAATTTATTTTATACGTTTATATTATATTAATACGTTTATATTATTATTACGCAGCCAAATTTTCCGTTTTAAATTAGACGTCTTAGTCTTGTCCAGGGCCGGCGCCTACAGGTAATTAAAGTAAATGTAAGTCGTAAGAACAGTGTCGTTAGAGGCTCTTCTAAAAGTTCTCCTAATTAGGGCCTCATTTTATTTTAAAAAACTTAATTTTTTAGGTAATACAAAAAGCGTCTTATATTTTGAAAAGGGTCCCGTTAAATTAGGGGCCCATGCCCCTAATTTAGGGGCCCATGCCCATAAATTAGGAGTGTATGGTACTGCGTAAAAATAATTAGCAGGTAGAACAAAATTTCATCAATTTCTAACATGTCGTTGTTGAAAAATGTACTTAATATGTTTAATATATATGATGTAACAACATAATATTTTTGAATTTTACTAAAAACCAAAGTTATTTTGTTTTATCTCCAAAAGAGGGTGCAAAAAAAAAGGGCGTTAGCGTAATTTTAAAAAGTTTTTTTTATCTAAAAATTAATAATAAAACATTTTTAAATCTTAGGAAATACCTAAATTCTCAAAATATTTTTTCAATTTAGCTGCGAACAAATTCAAACTTTGACATCGATTTTCTCAGTTTGCAAAAACATGGAGATAGCACAAGATAATTCTAACGTCGCGATATTACATTTATAAAAATTGGCCGGAGCAAGAAGAAAACAATGACTGTCTTATCGCCGAGCCCCGTTTACAAATTGCCCGTGTTTATAAACAAATATAAATAGAATATACAAAAAAACGTTAAAGAGTACATAACTTTTGTCAAATAATAAAATGACATTTATATTAAAATTTAAAAGTAAAGAAAGTTTTGTGTACTAATACAAATATATTTGATACATATAACAAAATATATTTAATGATAATGGGAGCGTTTGTTTCTATTTTTTTTTAAAAATTTCCTTTTAAAAAAAATACTTAAA